ACAGCTGTTAATGAACATTTTGTTAAAACTGAAAGAACATATGAGACCAACAATGCCAAAGAACTGAATTAGAAATAAGGTTTATGGATTCAGTCCACTGAACTACTTAAAATTGCTCAATGGTTGATCTTGAAATAAGTTGCAGTAAAAAGTCGGCTTTTGTTATCTTTTTGCTAATCTAGAATGTTGTGTTTGTGCATTTTTATTTATTTATTTTTTTTGCGTTTTGCCTTAAATCTGACTTAGAACCTGAAACAATCTTCAGCGTTTTCCACACAGTGCTCAGGACTTTTTAACTGGCTGCTGTTCCTCCTTGATCCTGCGCTTTGCTCCTAATAGCAGTATACTGAAGCCGAGTCGTTTATTCTGCATTAGGATGAGAATGGGGGAAAACACAAAAACTAGATCTCACTGGTAAATCGAGGACCAGTTAAACACTGCAACCAGTTTGGTGGGAAAAGACCCGACAGAAACAGCAACAACTGCCAAATGTAGATACTGTTTTTTTTATCTCTTCTAACATTTTGAAAATAAAATGCTTCAAAGGACTTCACACTTGAAGCATAGAAGCATCTTGATCCTACCTTCAGGAACCACTAATCTGGACCATTAAACATAAAAAAAACGACCGTTTAGAAGCAAAATGTACAAAAAATAATAAATTGAGGGAGAGCTTCAGACTGTCGCCTGATTGTTTTCTGTAATTATTGCCATTTCATATTATTTTACGTTCTTTCTTGTAAAATAAATAACTGCAACACATTGTTTTCATTCCAAACTAATGCTCTGCTGGATGGAAGTAGATATACCAGTCATGCATTTGTTTTCCATTTATATAATATACAGTCTTATGTTTAATCGAGGCAAACTAAAAGAAGAAAATGTCAAAGGCAATATGGCAACAATAAGCAACAGGAAAATGGCAACTATGACCTCCTCATGGGAAAAGAGGAGAGAAATAAGGATGTGACCTAAAGAGAACATAACCATGATTATTTTAAGTATAAACAAAGACAATAGAGTAAACACTAAAAAAAATATTTTTAGACCAGATAAAAACAGTAGTTAATAGACAAGGTAAAGAGTCAAAATGTCATAACTGATGTGTACCGAATGGGTTTATTTGCATCACAGAATGAGTTGAAATTATGATCATTTGTCTTCCATGTCGTCGATTTTAAAGGCACTGTGATGTTTTAACAGGCATGAAATAAATCAGTGTTTTGAAGCTGTGAAATAAGAGGTCTTTCAATAATCTTTAATAGGCTTACCTTCTATTAAAGTCATGAAAGCACAGAGGTAAAGGAAGACACTGAGAGCTGAAGCCAACACGCCTTCATTACGTGTGGTCAAATCTAATCCATTAGCAACTGCTGCACTGCATGGTACTGACACACAGACAGAGAGTTTTGCTTTCTGAAAGACAGAACCTTTTAAATATAGACACATAGCTGTAGTAATCGCGTGCTAAACCATATGTGTATGTCTCAGCAATAAGGAGGCTTGTGCACTGATGATAAAAAGAATGCACACGCTTATGCTTTAGTCTCTAGAGGTGCTTTAGCTTGTAAAAAAACTACACTCAGCCGCCACACCTGCCTGCTTTGCCTTCTCTATTTAAGTTTAAGTTTTTTTTTTAAATGTAATTTACAATGTTTTTCTTTTTTATTTGATTTAATACTCTTTTAGGGGAAAAAAGTTTGTGTTGGATGTTCTTGTTAAGAGCTTAGGAAAAAAAAAAGCATATTTGTTGGCATCTTTGATGCTAAAACAGTTGTGTTTTTTTAACAAGTATCACTATATGTGTGCAAGGCTTTACACAAGACCCCTGAACTGACCTGTAAAGTATGTTATTGATGTGACAGAAATAAAGACATTTATCATGACTCAAGCAAAGTATTTCTGTTGTAGTTCTTTGATTTATTTCTTCACAGAACTTAAAGTATTACGTATTTTAAACAGCCATAGTGAGTTTTACAATGTTTTCCCGGTTGCTAAGGGTTTTTTCTAAACTTTATTTGTAACAGTTTTTAAAGAACAGTTGCAAAATCTAAAAAAAAAAAAAAAAAAAAAGTTGATCAAATGTATACTTACTTCCATCTTGAATTAGCCAGACGTATGAATTATTTGGGGTTTAACTGAAAGTTCCTGCAGGTCAGAAAGTCAGATCAAAACTTACAGTGAATTGAACAATATAACAGTTTAGTTGAGCAAGCACTCAGCTTTTCCTGGATTGTTTTGTTAGAAGGAAGAATGCATTAAAAGGGAGAGGCATGTTTCGATGTGATCCTTCCCCAGAGCCGAACTCTGTCCTCCGCTGACTCAGCAGCAGCCTCCTTACTGTTCAGAACTCCTCAGTTTTGCTGCTCCCTCTTATCCTGCTTGCCCGGGGTTAAGAAAACATCTTCAGTGGACAAATCCCTGCCAACCTGAGCTTCAGTGGGGAGCTCATCTCCATCCATAAGCCAAAAATCCCTCTATTGTACATCTTGGTGGATCTCTGTTTAGCAGCTATTAACTAACCCTATACTTATGTCCCTCATTTTTCTCTTTGCCAAATTGGATGCCCATCCAGACCTCAACAAATATTTCCTCAATAATATTCAGTAACTGTTTTTCTGTCACTTTTTTTGTTTTCTGTTTCAGAGCTTTTAGCTTAGCACTATGACAGTTACAAGTGCACAAAGAGATTTAGGATTCATTTCATGATACTGCTTTGCAATATTTAGTGCAAATTCACCAGCGTCTGTCGTTACGAACACCTTGCACACCCGGTGAGGACTTGACTAGATACCGGACAAACAGGGCTGTGCCTGATAGACTGACACACACATGCAATCCAAAAATTTGTTCTGAATTATTTAATTGCATTTATTTATTATTTGATAATAAATCATTGTTATAACATAATTAAGTCATAATTATTAGATGTGTGTGATGATAATGGGATACTATCTAGTAATTATGAGATAGCTAAATTGTGTAATTATAGCCTTTAGCTCCTGTTCCTTCCCTTTTCAAAGGTAAGGACTCTATCTTTGGTAGGAAAAGGAAACTCTGGACTGAGACACTGATGGCAAACAGCTTTAAAATGTAATTATACGGTGAAAACAAATGATGCTGGTCAAACTAAGACTACAGCCTTCTAAAACAAAAAAAAAAAAAACCCTACAAAAAAATTCGTAGCTAACATTAAACATTACATAACATTAAAGCTCTCCATTACACAAAAAAAAGATGGGTAATACAGTGGCATGTTTTGTGAAGTGCAGCAATAATATATATA